CTGCTGGAGGGAAAACCAGCAACAGTGTGGTCCTCAAAGACCAGGGTTGGGAATTCCTTCCCAATGCCTCTGAGACAGGTTTGCATGACCCTCACAAGGATAGCTAGTAATGGAAGGACAAAATTCTGATATCGTATGAAGATTGGATCCCCTTATGTATTTCTGTTCCAATTTACAAGCAAACAGCGCATGAACTGTGTCTGTGACTCTTGACAGACCCACCCATCACACCCAACCTGACCCTGCAAAGTGACGTGATAGAGGGGTACCAGATGACCATTTACTGCAGCGTTCAGAGCCATCCTCCATCTGTGCTCAGTCTGGTACCAAGCAAGCACAGAGCGACAACCTCCTCTAACTCAATCACCGTGGCCTTCCGTGTTTCGTTTGAGGATACGGGAAAGTATGTTTGCATTGCACAGAATTCAGAAGGCAAATCCAAAGCAGAAGAATATCTGAAGGTGAAATGTAAGTACAGCCATATTAAGGTTCATCTTTACGCAAAGGTGCTGGAAACCATCTTCAGTGAATGTAACAGCTAGGGTTCGGTTGATGTCACCAGGGCTGTAAAACAAGGATAATCAATTTGCACTGCTGTCATTTTGTACGACACTGGTACTGTATTGCAACAGGTCTAATGGTGAGAATTGGCATGAACTCCTCAGAACTCTCAAGAGTGTTTTACCCCATTATGGCAATGAGTCTATCTTTTGGCATACATACTGTAGGCTCTGCTGATTAGGGGTGGGTGAAATTTGAAGTTTTATCAAACAGATCTCTGATTAATCATAAGCCAGGTTTGGGGTTGGTTGTCATATCAGAAGACCCAATATGTTTGCTACTTGATGTGGATATATGCATTTGAACTCTTCAACAGTTTTAAAATTGGATTCACCCCTCACTATTAACACCTATTTCAGTTCAAACAAACCTGTTCCTTTCAGACCTTGAAGGTGAAGGTTTTTAAATTGGTAAATCCTTAACAGGCAGAGCTCAATGAATAGTAATATAAATCGGCTATATAACTTATTGTCATGATCGTCATCCCTCCTCTAGAGGGCGCTCCGACTCTTTTGAATTTTGTATTTTTCATTATTACGTTCGCCTGCCCCTTGTTCCCTGTATTATTTAAATCCTGTGCCCCGAAGCTCGGGGCTCCGCCCGGAGACCCGCCTAGCACCAAGTCGCCCCACGTCCGCGGCTTGAGGGCAGAGGCTTCCAAACGGTGTCCTGACCAGCTTAGTCCAGGGATCGGAGTGCTTGGCCTCGTTACCTTGTTTTTAACTTCCTTGTTCCAGTTTCTGATCCCGTTCCTGGTTTTAATCGTTTGTCTTGAATGGATCTCCCAGCACTTGGACCCTGGACTGCACCCTGGTTTCCCACTTGGACTTCCCTCATCTGGACTTGTTTGCCTGCGCTCCCCCCCATGCACCTACTGTAGATCACAGTCGGCACCGCCCCCTGTTCCCCATCCCCTTCCATTCCTAACCTTGTTTTCCCTGTAGCCCTTCTCCAGTCTCTTCCGGAATATACCGTCTGCATAGGGTCCTAAACTACGCACTACATGGGAGTCAGGACCGCCTCCCATAATTCTTATACTTCCTGTCTTGATATATAATGACTTTTCTCTTCCCTAATTTTAGCTTACTGGTTAACTAAATCATATTTTATTTGTATTTAAAGTTTCGTGTATTTTTTAGCTGAACTGGTTTCTAATATGATCAATTAACTAAATAATTTCATATACAATTATGAACAAATAGATCATAAAGTAATTCTGCAACCTCTCTGCCCTCTTACAGATGCCCCTAAAAGCACATCTCTGGTAGTGTATCCTTCCACAGAGATTAGAGAGAACCAGGAAGGGAGGATCTCATGCAAAACACAAGCACACCCGCCAGTGACCGAATATTCCTGGTTCAAAATCACAGACCACAAGGAGCACAGAGTGGGAAAGGGGGCTGAATTGAACTTTAAGGAAATTTCCTTCATGGACAGCGGAAAGTACTTCTGCCGAGTGAAGAATGACATTGGAGAAAACAAATCAGCAGTCACCGAGTTAAAAGTATGGTGTAAGTGTCTCTGTGCAAAGGACATATTCCAAGTTTGCAAGACTTTTCAATAGAGTAGAACATCACTTCATTAAGGGGGTGATTATATTAGAAACACTGAAACCAGCTATTTCATGTTTACAGGTCTTGTGGATTTGTAAGCAACTTAAAACATGAATCTTAAAATAGTTTGAAGCTCGTTAGCTTACACTCCTGGAAATATTAAAGACACAAGGAAGGGTTTGAGAGAAGGCCATAGGCTCACTGGGGTACTAGTAGCTAATCAAACTGGTGATCACTCGTAGCTTCATTTCTTGAACAGGCTAATTCCAGTCTCCCACAATTGTTCTTGTTCTCAGTTTTAGATGTACTCCTTAGTAATTTCCAATTGCTCCTCTGATTATGAAGACGTCCACTGGATTTCTATAAATGCCTGAGAATTTTGATGATTCAATCAAGTCCCCCCATATTCTTCTAAATTCATAATTACAGGATTCAGTTATTTAGTCTTGTCAACTTGGAGTTTCTACTTCTATGCTCTGGTTCACATTTCAGTTGCATATACTGTACTAAATAATGAATATAGTTACATATATAACATTTATAAAATACAAATAGCTTTTGATTATTAGACAGTATGTACAGTAGTATTTGCCACATCATCTAATCATAAAATTGTACTGAACTTTACAAAATAGAATACACTTCACACACTAATTTAGCTTTGCTTCTATCCTAATTAAATTTAGAAGCCATTACAATGTATTTCACCAACGGTAGGTAGCTGCGTAGGCTGCAAAGGAACAAGTACAGGTTTATTCCGTGCTGAAAAGAGAAGAAAAGCAACACGATAAACGAAAAGGAACGTTGTGTTTCATTTCTTCTCTTTTCAGCATGGAATAAACCTGTACTTGTTTCATTTTAATGTGTATTACATTTGCTTTGTTTTCTTTTTTTTGTATGAATAAAACGATACAATAATATACTGTAAAGCACCATGGGAATATGTAACAAAGGTAATTTACAAAATGTGGTGAAATGACAAATCCAGCTCAGAATTGTATTGTATCACCATACATTTGTGTTTTACTGTCCCAGATGCTCCCAAAAATACCACAGTCGTGTACAACCTGAGTGGCCAGAAGACCCCCAAGGGGATGATTTGGTTGATGTGCAGTAGCAAGGGTTACCCTCCTGTGAACCGCTACAGGTGGTACAAAGTGAATGATCGCAAAGTGGAGACTTTCGTTTCGCACGACCAGAACATCACTGTTACCAATGCTGAACGGGTGTCCTACTACTGCATAGCCTACAATGATGTCTCCAACCAGCAGTCCTCGTTGCAAGCACTGCCCATCTATTGTGAGTGACCTCGGAAGACTTTTATTATACTGTTTGAAAAGACGACAATGCAAACAAGAAATGCCACAAAAAAAGGCGTGTATCTAGCAATTTGTGCTCTTTTAAAAGCAAAAACATAACAGAAGATAGGACAGGAAGCAACAAAAAATGTTTTGCGCCTCATTGAGTTGGTATACAAAAACCAAGCACTGCTTATCTGGAATTAAAGTATTTTAATATATTTGTTCTTTTATCAGAGCAGCTTGAAATGTCCTGACCCTTTTACAGAAAATAAAAACTAAACAAAAATGGCCTTTTTACTCTTTTTAATTCCATGTTGACAATGCTCAGATTGCCAAAAAAGTAATGGGTAACAAAAACAAATTTGTAAAAGGGAGTGTAGCTCTGTCCTGCTATTTTTTTAACAAGAGTACGCCAATTTCACAACCATATGACAAAAGTATTCTCTGAGGATAAAATGGCGACACTTTAGGTTTTTAAAGAGCTAAAAATTCCATTTAAAATTCTTAATAACCAGCTATATATAATTAGAGTGGTAATAAAATGTCAGTAACCGGTAAGAATTAACAATGGTTAACATACAATTGTCCAGCATTCAGATTGTTCTTATCTAAAAAAGCACTATCAGTACTTTCTTGAGTGTTAGAAGCTTGATTGCAATTCATTTATAAAGTGCAGTTTGCAATTGCTAAACTAAAAATTACTAACAAAGGATATAAAGCATTTTTTCTGATTATATAAGATACTATGCAGAAACAGGAGGTATTGTACTTAATGTGGTTTCCCCTAGAGTTGTATATTAATGAAGAATTCATGACTTGAGGATTTAAGTCTGATTCGTTTTCCTTATTTCCAGATGGCCCATCCCAGATGATCCTTATTTTCATACTAGTTTTCTCTGTGTGCCTTCTGATTCTTATTGTCGTCTGCTTTGTCTTCAGGTAAGACAGATTATAAGAACATAAGAACAGTCACAAAATAGGAAGCCTTACTTATAGTTAACATCTTGTGTCATGTCTTGTGTCTTTGAATCACAGTTGGTCCAGATTACGTTCTCTGGGCTGCATGTCATCTCAGAGATGATGCACCAAAAAACTATATAACTATATAAGTGAGTGATGGAAAAAAGAGAATTCAGTGAGTCAGTACATATTTTAAATACCCGTCTACTCTGTTCAAGATTAAAAAGACATTCAACATGCAATACATTAAGCACTCCAATACCTCTGCCTGTGATTGTAGGATCTTCTTTTAAATCCAGAAATGTACGGTACGTGCTTTTATCTTCTGTTGATTCTAAAGACTACCACTGGGTTGTTGCTGCCTCTGAAGATTTTGAATGCTTGCATCAGGTCGCTTTGAATTCTTCTCTGTTCAAGACTACTGAGACTCCAGCCCATCAGTGTAGGATATTCCTTTAAACCCAGAAATGTACAATATACACTTGTGTCCTCTGGTTTGTGCTTCAGTATTTACTCTGATGAAGTCCACATGATTAATGCCTGTGAGGATTTTACTTACATCATGTTAATTTGATGTGCTTACATTAATATGAGCGAGGAGAAGCTCCTGAGTGACTCAGATAGTTAGGGTTTTCACTTCAATACTCAGGTTAAGAGCTTTGGCAGAGACATTGCAGGTTCAGGCCTGGGTTATGTTGCTAGAGCCAGCACTCTCAGCTGTCTGCACAACTAACTCTTGTGCATTCCCATGAAGAAATCTAAGCAAATTAGAGGGCAATTCTGCCCTTCTGCTCCTCTGTGTCTGGTCTAACCTTCCTTTATGGTGCTGTGGAGCTTGTGATGTCTCCAAAGATGAGATGCAGGACTGCAGTACAGAAAACATAAAAAAATGAGACGCAAAACTTTGATTGGAGATTCCAAATTGGTTGGGTACAAAATGAAAAAAAAAAAAGCTGTTAAAAAATAGGTGAGCAAAAGTGTGTGTTAAAGAGTGGTGAAACTGGCATATAGAAACTCAGTGCTGTCCTGAATGAGAATTAAGTGTAATTCACATCACAGTCACAGACCTCAGGTGGAACTTTTAGCCTGAGTTGTACAAGTAAGAAGATGTTTGTTTTACACCTCTGGTCCCATTTCAGATGGTGTACATGGTCCTTTAAATTAGAAAGCAATCTCTTTAGGTATGCTGAACAAAAAATAGGCATGTGAAGCACCCACAGTAACCATGAGTGCTGAATTTAACTTTCTCATTTTCAGACAACAGAAGAGAAGAGGTACACAGGGAAGTGAAGCAGATGACGTTTGTTTTAATTTGCTGCGATACATGGTACAGTTTTATTTGGGTTTTATTCTCTTCTTTTCTTCTGGTATCACCCAAGACAGTATTCTGTAGTTATTATCAATGTTTTTTTTAAAGAAGAGCCCGCATTCGCAGGAACATTCTCTTTGTGTGTTGTTCCCTCTTGTGGTCAGATCGAAGAATGCATCTTACGACCTCGGACTTGCGAGCTCGCTCACAGATTCTGAAATTTCGAAAACATTGTGTACTTCTACACTAGTCACACAGAGTTCAGTTGATGTTGAAACTAAAGTATATAAATAAGAAAAGAACAAAATGCAATACTGTCCCATGATTATCTTTTCAAAGCTCTCAAGCACACATTTTCATAAAAACAAAGGTGAGCATTTGACTATATAAACCTTGTTGCATAGATGCAGCACAAACGTTTTCAAATGTAAATGTACTGATTGTAAATGTACTGTATTTTGTTACACAATTTTTTTTTCAAAGAACAGTAGGCATTAGCATTCTGTAACTACAAAGCTAGAACAGCAGTTCTTAATATGCCATAAGGAAATGCAGATTCTTATTTCCTATGGTGAATCATTTTAGGCTATTTTATGCATCAGTGTGTAAATATATAAGTATAATACAGGCTCATTCTGTATGTAACATACAGCTTGAAAAAGAACAAGCCACTGCAAACCTACGGTGGTACAGGAGTCTCATAGATTTGGCTGTTGAGCTACTGTACCTCTTAACTAAATCTTGCAGGTAGCTGCATGTACTGTAGCAACCTAATCCTTTCTTATGAACGTATGAACTTTAACCTTGTCGTTACTGTTGTTCTGTGTTTAATTCCCATTAAGGAATCACCAATTAAACACAGGACAACAGCAACAATAAGGTTGTTGTATTGGATCATGCATGCAACTAAGCACTTCCTTGCAGTTGTGCATATGACAAACAAACTGAACTCTGAATAAACTGAACTCTGATATTAACATAACAATGGGACACCATTGGAGCCGTCTAGCCCACGTGGTAGTTAGTTGTTAGCTGATCACAGGATTTCATCCACTTGTTTCTTGAAAGATGCATCAGCTACAACAACATGGCTGGGTAGCTTGTTCAATCCAGTCTTTAGGTAAAGCAGTGTCCCTGTTCTTGGTTTCCTCTTGTGCACTTTCATGTTTTACTGTCTATTCAGAAGAAATCTGTCAGGGTGCTAATTTAGTAAGTCAAGGTTTGTTCTTCTTCTTGATTACTTAGAGTTCCCAGAATGACACTCAAGAAACCTTGATGCTGGAGGGGGCAGGGGACTCCCACAGAAGCAGAGAAGACCTTGTTGGTGGAATCCACAATCCTCATGGTCCACAGTCTGGAGCTACTCTGCAGCTAATGTGAGTCTAACCCCCACATAATTTCAACTGCTGTAGTGCTGCATCTGTCCCCAAACATGACAGACAGCAGAAATCAGTGTAAAACCACTGCATCAGAGACATTCCTATATCAAACTGGATCAAGTAAGCTGGCAGTACTCTAGGATCCAGCTGTCAAAAGCTAATCAGTAGTGCTCTGTTTCTTCTTATTTTTATTCTTGTTCACTGCAGGCAGGGTCTCACATATACAGTATGTGTTTATTTTTAGATTAAGAAACAAAAACAGAATATCTTGTGGGTATGCATGTAACCACATTTGTTTTGCTACACCCAAGTGTTGTTTGTGCTCAATGATCTAACTATGCTTTTTAAAAACGAAGCACATTGCTATGAGTAGCTATGACTACTCCTGGCTTCAGTTTAGCCCTGTTCTTTTGATATGCGATTCTTTCATATACTGTACCAGTTGTGGTAGTTTCCCGGTTAGTTACAGTACTACAATTTCTAACTTTGAATTCAGAATTAATCATAGTCAGGCTAATAAATAATGCGACAATCCTTAAGCTTGAAAAAATGAACACCTCTTCTTCTGTTCAAGAACACAGACACAAAGATGCTCTTCTTTTTTAGCTTTTGAAAAAAAAAACTACTTCCTCCTCCTCCCCGCCTCCCCAAAAAGCTAGGCCCACGACTCCTCCTTGTTCACCATGTTCAAATGTGTACTTCCTTCTGCCTCTGCCTCAGGACAAGGCTATTGTCTCTTAACTTTTAGCCTGATGCAACATATCTGCCATCTGCATTAAGCTGCAGTGTGTCTGAATTAGGGAAGGCTTCGTTCGTCTTGAAGGCTTCGGTCCCCTGTGGATCTTATCCCACTTCTGGTTTGAATTGCTTTATCAAACGTTTTGGATGTCACATCCAATCTTTTGGATTTTTTTAGATGTTAATACTTTAATAATAGAAAAGTACCTAGAAAATATACAGAACACAGGACCCCAAAACTTCCTATCTCTTGTATTAATCAAAGCAAATGTACTATTTTAATACGCAGGCCATAGGTAATTAATGATTAAGCTTATTAAAATTTATAGTCCCTAGAAGGCATTATAAGAAGGTTTGAAGCTGAATTTTCACCCCAGTTATAATGTTAGTTTGCAGAAACACACAATTCAAATAATGCTACAAAATTGGTATGTCAATAATTTTCCAGAAAGACTTGAAAAAAGTATTTTCTTTCTATTGTCTTAAAGTTGCCTCATTTACAGTGTTGTCAGGTGATTTGTTTGGAAGTTTGCAATAAAACTTTCATAACGTTCTTGCGACAGACATATTTAGTCACCTCGAATAAAATGGCACAAATAGGATGTGCTGTATCGTAACACTTTCCTGAGGTCTTATAACACTCTGTGACAACAGGTGGTTTACGATTACAGAATGTATTATGGGCCAAAGCCGTTAAGACATTTCTCAGGTGTTACGAATGGAGAGTGACAAATAGCAAAAGCAGGAAACATCATTACATATATAATGTACATTAGTGATCCAAATCAACAGTGTGAAAATGGAAAAGTTCGTTTCAAAGCTAGCTAGAAGGTGAAATGGAAAGTTGCATTCAGCCTGACGTTAATATGTAAAATCAGTGTCCCTAATTATACTGTATGATGTTTGTAAAGACAGTTGAATCACATATGTGAATTCGATTCTCCTCTGATTACTTTGCTCTTTAAAGCCTATTCTGTTACTGGACAACTTTGACTCAGTGCCTGGGGTTTTTTAAAGCTGCTCTCCTAAAGGCTGTTGCTGCTTTAGAAGAGCAAAACTTTAGAAGAGCAAACCAATGGATAAACCTTAATATCCATTTCCAGTCTTTATTATTGTCCTTAGTAATGGCAAGTTCTGCCAGTTCCCAATACTGTTAAAACAGCAACGAAAGCACACTCTCCACACACTGTAGCTTCAACTGCACAGAGTAGCCCCAGTTAGGGCACAAACAGTCAGTAGCTGTTTAATGTCTTGATAGCTTGTTTATCTTTGAGACCTACCAAAGCAAAAAAGCACAAAGTACTGTCCATTCATTGATCCGTTCACTGGTAGAAGACTATTCCCCATTTCTTTTCATCAGACATTTATGTCTATCATCCCATATGCATTTCTATCAATGCTCTTCAGGCCACTTCTGTAGGCCAGCTGGGCATCAGAAAAGGCTATACTGCCATACAAAATCTACTACTCAATATACAGTATGCTGCATTTTATTAACATATCTTTCTAAGGCGCAAATAGACAGATGCAAATTTCTCTGATGCAGCACAGATTAGTTATCGTTTAGTAGCTTTCTTCTCTGTAGCAACGTCAAGAACAAATGTCAATTATCAACTGAATTTTTGTTTGCTTTCAAATGCCTTCGCAAAACATGAAGACCTTGCTCTGGATCAACAGTGTACAGCACTTTAAAGCAGCCTGATGTTGTTCTGGTGGTAAGTAAGACAGAAATATTTTACAGGAGTCATTGCTTCTACAGTTACTGCCCCCACAAACACATTAAAGAAACCCAATGGAAACATGTAATGTATGTTCTTTTTTTAATAAGGCCTCTGAAGCTAAATGTGAAAGCTGTTTTTTTATGTGTCAGATGTTACATGGTAGAGGTAGTGATTAGGCTTCTTCTGTACTGGACGTTAGTGGGAACAAATCCTTAGTTGGGCACTGCCATTGTACTATTTACTTCACCCAGATTGCTCCTTTTAAATACTCAGCTTTATAAATAAGTATACATCTAAGATACTTTAGACAAAAGCAAAAAAAACATTAAACCATAAAACCATGTCTTAATTTCACACTTTCAATGAAACACGCTTAAAAAGCAAGTCCCTGTAACTTTAAAATCTTGGTCATGTGAGCTTTTTGTGTTAATTGTGTCGTCTGTATTATTATGGGTATGTGTGTCTGCATATGGACTAGGGTGCCATCTGAAAATGTGTATAAATGTCAGTGCTCTGACTCTCACTCTCCTCTCAACAAACTAGAGCATCCCACCATGTCTCTGCCTCAATTAAATTACTTTCCATCTGTGCCAGGTGATCTCTATTAGAACTATTCAAGGCATTTCAGGAGTTACACTTAACTTTAATGTGTGCAAATTTGTAAACAGTCCAAATTGACACTATCAAACTTTTTTCCACACTCTGCAGGACCGGGGACAGAGAAAGAGACCAACAGATCCTACTGGAAAGGGTGGCTCAGAAGATATGGATACAGAGACTCTTAAATATGCTGCTCTGGCATTCCAAAGGGACCCAGAAACATCAGAAAGGTGTGTACTATTAGATGAAAGAAACTAGATGGTAGGAAGAATGTCCCATTTACACAGCTATTGTTCCTAGTTCAAAAGGACAATCTATACCATGGTGCATTTATCGTGCATGACATACATTGTTTGATAGAGATACTGTAGATATGTCATGGCGTTCTTTGTAATTAATATTTAACACTAATTGTGTTTTACATAATTTATAATTTATACTTTATATATGTCCCCTTACTGTATGTAACCACTAATTCAAGAGCATGACACTTGGATTAATTTGTGTTAATTGTGTTTGTAAGCAAGATGATAGGCACATAGTACATGCACACTCTGTGTACCGTAATCTAGGATGAGCAGCTCCAGATCTTGAGAACCATCTTATTGCAAGTTTTTGTCAGGGAGAGTTCTTTCCGGACTCTATGCAGACGACATGATCAAGGGTTGAGTGAGAAAACACGAGGAAAAAAGGCATGCAGGATACGGGGATGAAAACAGGGGGGGCATGTCCATGAAGTGCTGGTGGTCGGGGGAGGTGTGGCCGAGGCAAACGATCCAGAACGGGAAATCCAGAAACAGGGCAAAAGTCCAAGGCCAGGCGATCCATCCGGGACAGACGATTAAAATCCAGAACCGGGTCAGGACCAGCAGGGATCGGAAACAAGAACAGAAGCTACAACCATAACGGAGCCAGGCGCATCCAGGTCCCGGGCTCGCATGATGCGGGAACCAATGCAGAGCCCGGATTAGCGTCTGTGATTGGCTTTTAAGGGGGAACTGAAAAGGGGCTGGAACAGGAAGCAGGTGCGGGAGATGAAACTAACAAGGAAGGGCTGGAGCGCCCTTAAGAGGAGGAGTTGCAATCGTGAAAGTTTTAGGTACTTCTTAATTGTCACCTGAGACCTAAAACAACAGCTGATTTGCCTTGATTTGCAAATTACAAGTTGGATTAAAGTAATTAATTGTAGAAGTGAATGAACAGTCCCAACAGCAATGGGTTATGCAATTATGAAACAACTTACTCAGCCACGCTGTTGAAGTCCACACCCTGTTTTTTTTTCAAAAATGAATGAGTTCTACTACAGTAAATATCAAACAAGCTAGATGGACCAAAGATCGTTCTATTGTTTGTAACTGATCTTATGTTCTTAAATGAGTCCCATGAGTTTTGCAGTTGCTCATTTCTGATCATCTTGAGAACACCTAAAACAAAGTGGGAAAGCATAAACTATTGATATTGGTAACAACAATAAAAATGTGATATTGTTTTCTTACAGAACAGCGACAGACGTCTCAAAGAAGGAATCAGGCGATCCTGTGTATGCCAAAGTTAACAAACCTGGGGTGGAGAAAGAGGTACAGTACTGCTTGCCTTTTATTATAATGCTACACTTTTATTTTACACTTCCAGATTACATACTGTATATGTTTGTTTTCTGTATTAATATTGAGATATTATTCAATTCTAAGGTGCAATGCCTCACCACCAATGATATTTCCAAGAGATTAGGCAGGTAAAGCAATTCATTATTTTACCAACAGGGCATGGCAGTTTTAAAATTTGCAGTTTAATTACACCAGGTGTTTTTTTTCTCACACTGCTTGGCTGACTTTTTTTTTCCGTGTTTATTTTTTGGGTGATTCGTTTCATTACTTTGTATTGGAGCATACATACAGTATACTTGTATTGGAGCATACATATAAATAAGTAATTTCATATCACTTGTGCATATGACAAATAAACTGAGCTGATCTGAGGTGTAATTAGGCTAATCCAGGTATAATTACCTTGTGTTCTCTGTTCATGAAAACCACATTGTACTCTCTTGTTAGAGAACACGTCACCAGAACTCTGTGAGCTCACAGACACACCGAAGGCCAAAGGGGTCACTGTTGCAGCGAAGTTAACTCTGGCTGACTCAAACCCACCCACCACACAATTATGGTCACTGTTTGAAGAATCCAAGTCATACAGTAGCTGACTATACACACAGATCCTCTGGCTTTTTTGCCCTTTTGCAGAAACAGGGCAGTCTTTCTGATTGAATTTGTAGTAGTTTTTAGCATCGACATGTTGCAAAATGATTTAACGGGAACATTCATTTTACATCCTTGGGGGATTCGCAAGCTGATGCTTCCCAAAAAAAAAGGAAGATGTCACCCCCCTCACTTCCCCAAAGCAGATGAGTTTCAAAACGTGTGAATTGCACAATGATGCAGCATGCTGCTTCCATCTACCCTGTTTCTAAATCTGCCCTCTTCAGCTCAGCTCAAAATAAAAAAAAACAATTGATTCTGTTCCTTGTCTGTCTATTACTACTACTCAGAATGAAACCTGAACATTTTAGCCACCTTCCTACAGTATATTCTAGATGTTTTGCTCGAAAGAAACCTCCTCAAGGACAAGTAAACAAAACAAAAGAAAGGAACTATTCACTCTCATTGAACACAATGTTACATTGCATTTATAACAGGTTTCTTTTATTTTAAGGATCATAAAGATCTAGATAAAGCATAGCAATCTGATTAGCATCTATCCTTACTAATATATTTCTATCTTAAATTTAAGGTAAGAAAACTGCTCTCTAATGTGGTGGCACTCCTTTGTCCAAACACCTGAGAGCAATTGGATAGATCCAATTCAGCTAGAAATTTCTCAGCATACCATACATTTCTATTTTCAGACTTAAAAACACAGCCTTTTAATTTCTGATGGTGTCCTCTGGTTTCATTGTTAATATTGAAGTAACCTTTGTGTTGATGTGACACAGGGTTTTGCATATAGTAGCTGTACCAATTTATGGGGAAATGTGAGGTAAAGTTATGTAAATGTAATTACGTAAGACTTCTGTAAGAGAAGAAACGGATAAGGCATTGTTGAGTGGGGCAAATAACTTTCCCTGTTTCCCTGTTTTTGCAACCAGTCATCAGGGAAGACAGATTATGAAAATCTGAAGGGAACCCTGAGCAACCAGAAAGACAAGTCAGAGGAGAACGAGAGTGAAGAGATCCACTATTCCAGCGTTTTTGCTGTTCAGCCTTCTCTTGGCAGGACTCTGGAATGGGAGTCAGAGCCAGATTCCGAAGAAGAGGAGTACATCACAAGATACTCAGACGTCAAGCCCTAAACCATCTCATGGTTTAAATGCACCTGTGCTTCTCAAATCTGATACTTCAGCCCATCAGATGTCCCTGGTTTGCACACTTTCTTAGCTCTTCTCGGTATTCTTTCAGTTAAACCAACATGACCACTTTGCTTCAGTAGGTCTAATCCAGGCCAATGCTGTAAAAGCATTTAGAAAGTTACTGTAGATTGCACCCTTTTAAAGCAGGAATTAAGGAGTCCTGGAATGCAACAATTTTATTTTCTTGTAGGAGTCGCTCATCAGTTTCTTTAAATGCTTGTAAATTATTATTAACATGCAAGACAGACAAGGCACAGTGACTAAAACTGCCGCTTTACAGCTCCTGGGTACAATACTGTTCTTGGAGTGGAGATTGCTTGGTCTTCCTGTATTCATATGGGGTTTTTTCCAGATCCTCCTTCTTCCTATCTTCCAAAAAGGAGAAGGGAAGATTCAGTTGGCTATTTCATGTATTCACCCTCTGAGGGAGGGACATTGAATACTCTACCATGACAAGAGAGGTCCTGGTGTTTAGAGTACAGTTACGATATATAAAATACAATATATGTATAGTATTTTAATAGCACAGTCCAGAGGAAAGTGGAGGAACAAGCATTCCAATCCTTGTTAATGTACAGATCACAATTTGTCAACCTTGCTTTGGCATCCTGAAGATAGACAAAAGTCAAACTCCAGTTTAAAGTCTCATTGGTGAGTCGCTACACAGATCTTCCTGTGCTTACCTCCCACATTTGCTAGGAGATAATTGACAACACATAACAAACTCACTCAAATAGTTGTTTTTTTCTTGTTGCTAATGCACTTTGTACATAAACAGTAGAAGCTTAGTCAGCAGGTGGAATGACTCAGAAGTGCAACATGGAGGGATTAACTAAACCTCCAGGGGCATTGAAAGGGTAAACGTTCAGAGGAACTGGACTAGAATGTCTGTGTGGCGCTGATGTGAATTAAGCAATCAGGTGCTGAGCTCTTAAAAACAGACCGTTGCAAGCAAAGACAAATCTATCAAATGAATAGTGCTTGTGTATCCTGTAAATGTAACAGCTTTCAAATATATGTGTATTTCTGTACATAGGTGTGTGGGAATCCCAGTGGCATGGCACCTATCAGCACTGCTGCCTGAAAGTCCTGAGTTTAGATTTTGGACAAGGGATCCAACTCATAGATTTCTATTGGTGCTCCAGTTTCCTCCCACCTTTAAAGACATGGTGGTGGGTTTAACTATTGTCACTGATTGCATGTGTTTATCTTTTAACTTGGGGACACAACTTGAGAAAATTCCCCTCAGAGATAGTAACCCATGCCACAAAATGAGGGAGTACAAGACTTTCTGAAAATGGATGGATGTATTTATATGTTCATGAAACCCTTGAAGGTTAGCTCACTCTACCTACAGTAGTAGGTGTAATCAATATTGTGGGCTATGTACAACCCACAAAAAATAAGGCTCAAAGTCCTTCAGAGGCCTCAATTCTTACACTCTGCAAAAATGTTCAAAGTGTTTTTGAAAGTTTTTTTTAAATGATTTTGATTGCCATTCAAGAAATGTGTACAGTAACTGCTTGAAAACTGTATTCTTGTGGACTTGCATCTCCATAAAGTACAGTTTAAACTATCTGACATTTAGTTTATGAAGAGAACACAAAAATATGAATCCCTTTTTAACTAAGGACATTCCAACTGTTAAAATTTCAACTTATGCTGGAAATTGGAGAAGTTTGCAGAATTTTTCATTTTCTTCAAATCTATGTCTTGCTACATTGTATGTGTAATCCAATTTTCAAGTTTCAAAATATGTCTCTCTAACAAAAAGATGACAGCTCAAATTTTTCAGCATGTTCTAAGATAAGGTCTAAAATGGAAAACAATTCTTAGTTAACAGTTTAATGCTATTAATATAAAAACAGGAACTATATGTGCAAACATTATGGGTTCACCTGTACAAATCTGCTTTTCTGTAGTGCTGCCAAACTTTAGCTTTGTTTGTACAAAATAAAAATACTTAATACTTTTTTAACAATACTTAGAAAAGAGTAAACTTAAAACTATAAAAAGAAAAGCCTTAAAAAAATCTTATTAACCATATATAAAGATATACATTGCATAAATATATTTGTTTTTCCTTGTAGTACAAGTTTCACAAATTAAAATACTGCTAAAATGTGACAAGATAAATTGTATTTTTATCTGGGTTGTGAAACTGCCCTTCTAGGTGAAAACCTAGTGCCTTCTCAGTTTTCTTCGGACTTGCACAGTTCCTTGTATTTGTGAAAGTGTAATAGAGATTTAACATTTAGACACTTTGTAAGAACAGACAGAACATTCTGAAACAGATAAAAGAATTTAATTTTGTAGTTTATATTACATATTAAACATACTAATATAGATACACTGAGCATATATAATCTTAACATTACAGCATAAGTGGAAATTTACAGTCTACAGAAACAATTGTAGTATTACTAAAATGCTTAATGACTACACAGTAGGGTACTGGATTAATCTAATGATGTTTATTATTCTTTTTTATTTTTACAGTTAATAGCTTAAATATTCAATAATGATTACTGGATATTTTGGAGGGAATTAATAAATGCCCCCAAATAATTAGATTAATTTGTTAAACAGCTCATTTCCTTTCTAAAGCAGAAACCAAAAGATGTAGAAGCATTCAACCTTTATTACACCCAGGAAATGAATGTAACATGGCATAGTTATCAGTGAGCAATTATGAATTTGCAAAAAGAATGTTCTTTCCAAAACAAATGTATATTCAGTATTTGCCATCAAAGCTGTCAGAAAAAAATATACTTGACACATTAAATTTTATTATGTTTGTAGCACTTCGTGTGTTTTTCTGTCTTTTGTGATATACCAATCAAAACCAGGGAACCCTTAACACAAGTTTTTTTTAATTCCAAATGGAATTCTCAGTTAGTTATAGTTTAAAAACTGTAACAATAATAAATTAAGCTTCATGTTTTAATGTTTTCATCTGAAAATCAACTGAATTTCTCAAAAGAAGAACAGAGTCATATGTTAGTTTTTTCTATATATATGTACAGGATGTTACTAGTTGTAAACAAAAAAGGCATAGCTAAGCAAATCACTAAATTGACTGAGGGAGTAATTAAGAAACTGAGAGTTCAACATGATCAAAAACTTGAAAACGCTGTGATCCCAAAGCCCAAAAACCTTGAAAAACTTGAAAGATAGCACTGAATGTCCCTCAATTGGGCATTCCACAGGAGAATATCAAATATTCAATGGTCCTGAACTTTCCCAGTCTTGGTGACCTCATTGTCACATTGACTTTTACTGTAGCCCTAGCTGAGCTCATGATTATCTAATTGAATTCCACATTTAACTCATAATTTACCAAACAGACATTTTCATTTATCACCAATTTGATAACTGGAGTAACTTAAGAATGTCATTGTAGGAACAGAAAAGGGTCGAAAAAGGATTAGTTATTCAAAATATGACTTCTATTACGGGATTTGGGCAAGCAACAAAATGTCTAACTGCATTGAAAACCAGAAAATAGTAGGGTCATTAGGACCAGAGATGGAAAACCCTGTTCTGCTGATTCTAATCCTATTTTCAACGATCTGATTTGATTTATTTTTATTTATTTTTTTTATAAATTGACCTGCACAGAAAGAAAAGTAAGGCCAGGTGTTTGTCCACCCCTGCTTTATACCCAGTACTACAATGGGTTTAATTGTTTAATAGACCACTCAGGTTGGAACAATAATCAGAAAACACTAGACCTTCCAGTAATTGAACTCCCCTAGTCTAGATACTCTAATGGATTTATGGAGAGTGCTCCATAAATTTGGTGCACTATAATAGTCTATCAGGCTGAACTACAGTATACTGCATATAGTAACAGTTGGTTGTCCTTTGTGCACAACCAAAACAATGTTTTTTTAATTATAAAAATTTTTATCAGAATAAGGACGTTCACATCTTAAGTTTATTTAATGTCAAGCATAGAATTTGTAGACGGTATGACTGTGTCAATCATTCCATTACAGATTCGTTTCATTTAAGTGAGATGTTGTATATTTCCTTGTAACTTTAGAAAAAAATTAATTGATCTTTTTTGTATAATGAAGTGATTTAGTAGGAGAAATATTGTCTGATTGATATCTGTTGACTATTTAGACCGCTTAACCTCTGCGTATTCATTTTCTTCTTCTACACAGTGCTTCTTGGTGTTGCTGGTTGGAGGGTGAAGTTGTACAGAGTCATTCAAAACGGACTCGGAAACGTTCTGTTCTGACTCTTCTTCGTTATCCCTGCTGTCATGTGATTGCAGCCCAGCTGGCAATGGCTGCTTTTTAGCTGCCCCGGACCGCTGAATATTTCCATATTCACACTCTTCAGAGGCAGAGGGGAGAGAGCTCGCTCCCTGCTCTTCGTTCTCGCCTTCAGATGGATCGTCTTGATCTGAGGGTTTGTCAGCGGGCCGTGAAACAGGCAGAGTCCCAGCTCGCTTGTCCTCCACCTCGTTTGATCTGCGGACCTCTGCGTAATTTTTCTCATTTGGCGCCGACTTGCCACTTGCATCCACTCCGGCTCTTTTGATTTTGATCACAGCGTAGTCCGTCTGGTTCCCTGACGATATGATCACAGGAGAAATTGCCCCGTGGTCTTTGGGTTGGAGTTTGGAAAAATCCACAGTGGTGTAATGAAGTGTGTCTGTTGGGTGTTCAGTCCATGCATCTTTCGAGAGCTCTTCTTTATTGGCATACACGGACTCATCGTCTTGTGGGGGATTCTGCAAAACACGCACGAGTTAAAAACGGAGAATCAATTTTAATAAGAAAAACGACTAGCCACTATAGATAATATGCTTGGTTTGATGCAATCTTCCTATTTTAGGATGCAGAACAAAACGCTATACAGTAAGTGGGATAATAGCTTCGGTCTCAAGATAAAGAGTCTTTTATGAATGGAAAAACTTCAAATATGGTCTGCACTGGTACAGTGGCAAAATCAAAACTAGCAAATCAGCCCATGCACAATGAGTTTATAGGCTTTGAAAGTGATAACTCAAGAATAAAACAGATAAGCACTCCGTTTATGTCCTTCACACATAAAACAATATTTTTTACACGTTTCTTGTTTTTCAAAACATGTTTATAATTACACTGGATACTTGGACACATACCGTACATTGCATTGGCATATTTAATACCTGTTTAATGTAAAAGAGTGAAAATGATCAGCTCATTTTCTGAGTTTGAGCTCTGTTCCCTACATAGCTTGAGTGATGTCAGTGAAAGACAGGCCATCCCCTCAGTCAGAAATAACCATTGGCTCAGTTGCCAAAAGATCTTGCAATGTGATAAAAAGACAAATGGCTCTGATAAATGGACTAGTCAGAAGTCAGTTCAGGGGTCATTGCTGTGAATTGAGATGTAAAGAAACAAATGACGATTCAACATTCAACAAGTATTAAAAGAGAACAAATTGCTAAGAATAACTTCTGGTCAGCTCAAAGTATTGTTGCTTGGGTGTTCTGAACAATTCTGTACATCAGTGCAAGCCTGGCGAGGTCTCATTTTTCACAATAAAAAGAAACACAAACAGAAAGGAACTTCCAAGTGGTCATTAACAGTCACATTGTCTAAACGTGACTGAAATCACAGAAATTGCTCAACATGTGTCATTATATTGACAAAGAAAAAAAAGAACCTTACGTTCACCCCTATACAAAAGCATTCTACTGTTTTTAAATGTTAGTTCATCCTTCAAAAAGAAAATACAGTACAGTTAAAACTGATATGGCTCCATTTACATATAGTTGACTTATTTTTCCTTCTTATTCCTGATTCAAACTTTGACCTACTCTATGTTGCAAAACATACAGTATGAGAGGCATTAAAACACAATAAATGCTCATTGTTCCAATACTAAACTGTTTCATTTTAATACCTCTTTATAACCACATTATATGTACGGTATATATGCTGGTGTAAACAATAAAAAAGTCATGCTGTAATAACTGTGAACACTATATGTTAAGACTTTATACAGCATATTTTATAGTGCTACAATATAAAAAAATCTAAACAGATTATGTAATCTGAATCTGAAGTATATCCACATTTATATTTAATAAATATATTTAAATATATTTATAGTTAAGGTGGATGCTGCACATTGGTGGTGGTTGAGGGGAGTCCCCATTACCTGTAAACGCTTTGAGTGGAGTGTCCAGAAAAACCCTATATAAGTGTAAGCAATAATAATAATAATAATAATAATAACAATAATAATAATAATAATAATAATTATTATTATTATTATTACTATTATTATATTTTAACTGAAAATCAAACCACATACAGAATATAGTGGATTTAAAACTACACATACTGTATTGAATACAGTATTGAATATTGCTACTATTATGACCATCTGTGTTTAGCAAATAACAGAAACTGAGCTATCTAACTTATATATAATAATATATAATATACATATAATGTAACAAAATGAAAAATGATCAGGAAACATTTTGGTTAACTTTCAGCATCGGGTAGTTCAAACGTTCACCAATAACAGAAATCGCAAAACTCCAAACAAATATTCCAGCCTTTGCCAACACATTTCTCACATGTTTGTCATGATCCCCAGTGTCATATGTCTCAGGAATATTTTTTTTTCTTAAGTGCATTACTTAACAGTGTAATTCACCTTGGTTGAAGTGAGCCAAGATTTAAAGAACCAACTGGTGATTTCCCAAAATACAAATATTAAAATAATAATAAAATAATAATAAAAAAGGCACACTTTTACATTTGTTTGTACCTGCTGTTCTCCATTCATGTGAATCAGTTCAGCTGTGTCCTCCATGCTGGTTTTGGTTAATGATGGCCTGAGAATATCTTTTTTTCTCCTAAGAACAGAACAGTATACTGTTAAAATATGTAACTTCATAATGAGAAAAGAAGTCCATACCTCTGGCCCCACAATAAAGACCTGCTGCTGTACATAGAATGGGTACAGACAGTGGCCTAGAGGAGAGATTATGATTTTCTTAGAGTTTTCCTGTTTTTTTATCTCCAACTTTATTTTCATTTTGCTCTGTTGGTGTGTGTCCTTGCAGCTAATGTAGGAACTTTGCTTATATTTGTACACTAAACTGACATAAATTAAACTAACACAGGTCCTGGTCAAAGACTTACAGTATAAGTCTATCCCAGCTTACATTCTGGCTTACAAAGGCTCTAACAGCCGAAAATCCGAATGGACTTACTTTTGAAAACACTGCAGCAGACAGCAGAACAATGACATCAACACAGCACCAATAGCCCCCCCAATCAGCAGGGTTTTCCAATTCAAAAGGTTCTCTGGAGCTAGAAAAATCAAAAATAATTAGCTAATAATGTTTGCTACCTGTATTTGTGCTGTTTACTTCTTATGTAATGTTATTTTCTTCTGACAGAAACCCCCTGAGGTGTTACTCATTGTCTCTTCTCAAATCAAGGAATTGCTACTGATATTGTAATATGTCATTAGGGCTCTTCCTAAATTGGTTCTTTGTGTTTTCACAATGAAAGATACATGGTGAATCTAAATGAGGAATAAAGTGAGACTGCTGTGAGAGTAATTTGTAGAAATCTTAAATAAAGTATGCAATGTGTACAGTATGTACAATTTCTCAACATTAAAAGGGAAATGTGGTGCTTAACAAATATCATATGAGACTATTATTATGTCAATGTATAATAACTGTATGCTCTGATAAAGCTCTGTAATACCACGCTGTCAATTTCAAACAATACTTTTCTTTATGCAATCTTCTGAGCCATGAGAGAAGCCCTCTGTACATACTAGGACATTTAAAGGCAAAAATGGATGCAGTTCTTTGTTCATGGTAGTACAATGAGTATTTATGTATCTACCTTAAGCCAGGAAAGTATACAGTAGGTGTATGTAAATATTTTTCTTATAAAGAGCAAATAAGATAAGTAGTTAAAATAGTCAATGTCTATCTTATTTATTTGTGGTCTTTTTGTTTACCTGTTATAATGTAAATACTACTGTACATATACATTTGCTCCCCTAGGTGTTTATATATACAGTAGTTCAGGTGGGTAGCTGCGTCGACACCTGAAGAAGGCTCCACGGCCGAAACGTTGTGTTCTCTTTCTTCTTTTTTTCAGCATGGAATAAACCTATTACTTTTTCCTCTATATATTCAGTATACTGTGTTTAACAATCAAGGCACAATGACCAGAGATTCAATTTTGAATGCAAAATATCACCACTTAATCAGTACTGAGAGTGCTAATGATCTTTGGTGTTCAGAGCTAAAAGCCAGTGTTTTATACTGATCTTGTAGTGTGTCTACATCACAGATACCACACACATCCGTGACACATCTACAAGGGCTTCACTGGAATGAAAGGTTTTGGAGACTGACACTGTGGAGCTGGTGGATCATGTACTGTATGTTAACAGCCTAATAAGTTCTGAGCTTCAGTTTAGTATGCTTTTTGTGTGATTTTAGTTTTGCACCAGATTTCCCTTTTGAGTAAAATCTTGTATACAGATAACAAGAATATGGAGATACTGTATAGCAACAGTGATGTACTGTCCAAGCAACTTAAGATTAAACAGACCAGAGCCAGTGTTTTAAAAAACAGAAGCTGAGAAAGCAAAGCAGAAGACAACTCTTCTCCTTAGCATACACCTTCACATCACCACAATCACATCCTGTCTCATGTTAAACTGCCTTCTCATTTTCATTGCACACCCACGTTGTCCACTGCACGGACTGAGGTACAGTATTCTGACTATATCTACTACATCCTTGGAAATAGTTAGGAAAGATCTATGTTGACATACTGCACAGTAAAAAGGAATGTTGATGGGATATTTTGTTCTTGCATGCCAATAGCAAATTATATCGTATATTTATTTTATATCATGGTGGCTCAGTAGTTCAGCATTGCTGCCTTGTAGAACTGGGGCCCTTGGTTCAAATTCCTCTTTTGCTCCCTGCAAAAACTTTGTTCGCCTCTGTTTATGTGCTTCGTTTTCCTCCCACCATCCAAATATGGTTCTGTAACATCGGATCTTGTCTAAGTGTGTGCTTGTGTGTAAATGTGCTCTGAAAAGGACTGGTGTCCCACCCAGTGTGTATCCTGTCTTGTGCCCTTGACTGCCAAGCTAGGCTCCAGCTCCCCCCTTACCTTGTATTGGATAAAGCGGTTTAGAACATGAATGCATGGAAGGGTGGACTCGAAGACATTGGTATTTCTAGGAATGGTTTTGGATGGTAAAAGAACTATGAATCAGTACGTACGAAAGAGTACATTCTAAGGCACGACATCACAACAATTTCAAGAAAGAACAAAGATGTTATCTCTTACGTGATTCTGGAGGAGCTACGTAAAATTGTAGACGGTAATATCCGGCGTCATTCCTGCTGACACACTGAATATCAGCAGTGTTTCCAGGTGTTATCTGTAGAATAAGGGTGCTCTTCAGGCCTCCGCTGGCCAGCTGCTCTTCCTTAATCACGTGGTCAGTAGAGCCATTGCTGACTTTGTGTCCAGAGAGGAGCCACTCAATAGTGGGTGGGGGCTTACCCTGGCTTTCACACTGGCAAATGATGTCACTTGTTCTCCTGATGCAGCTGGAAGTGTTCAATATGTTTGGTGCATCTGCAGTGAATAATAAATAAATGCAACTTATTGCACACATAATAAATGTACACCCTTCAACAGCGGTTAATATTATAATTACGTGTATGTACCTAGAAATTCCGTGTATCTGCATTACAGAATATACAGTGCTGTGAAAAAGAATATACACCCCCATACAATTCTATGGTATTATATATTCATATATATCTGACCTTCACCTAGTGCTCATCAAGCCCTAACAGTAGATAAATCTGACCTCATGGGACAGATAACACACACACAAATTTTTACTTTATTGAATTGTTTTTTAATATATATATATATTGTGTTATTTGTGTGTGTTACTGTTGGAACTAGGTGAAGGTCATGGCTTGGCTTAATATGTAAAACCATAGACTTTTAAGAGGGTGTAGTTTCTTTTTCACATCACTGTACATCATGTGGTACATAATCTGTATTACAATAATATAAAGTCCTCAGTCTACTAAGGTACTCGATAGTGTTGGAACCCTTTAATTAATGGAATTTTGCTGTGTTTTATCCCATTCCATTCTTTTTCTGTCCTAGAAGAAGCAAGCTGTATAAGATACTGATCGCAGGATATCATGTTGTACATTGTAAAACAACCTGCTTCTTTCAGGCTGATGCATTACTAATTGCCTTTTCTCTTGCATTTAATTGGATTCTCCTTTGAGATAATTAGAATAAATAGGCCTAAATGCCAGGTGGGATATTTATTTTTGCCTTTCTTGACACATTGCAGAATAGGTGCAGTCAGGACGGCTGGCTCCGTATGGTTGCTGTTGCATACAAGATGGTTTCAGGTCTGCTCCTTGCACAATTAACTTTCTTTGCAAACATTTGGTAAAGCTTATGTCTCTGAAGCAAAGTCTGGAGAAGCATTCGCAATTTATCTTGGATTGATTCACTGTATTTAGCACTGCTATTTATGGAGTACTGTCAGTTTATGTTTGCCTTTCTGAGAATGTACAAATTATTAAATTTGGCCTAGCTGTAACATGGGGTACGCATGCTTCACAGTATCTTTCCAAACATTGTATTCCCTAAAGTCTCCTTCACTTTAGGGAATACTTCACATTTCACTTACATTTCACAGTCACGTTGACTTCTGAAGATTTATCAGCTCCATGTTGATTCTTTGCTTCACAGTAGTACTGTCCCCTGTCACCGAATTTAATTACTTTAAAAGTGAGATTGTTTCCAAATCCCGTCTGTGTAACCTGACCTTCGTTAACTTTAAACCAGGTGTAGTTTCTCACAGGTGGGTTGGCATTGCTATTGCAGGTCAGGGTCACTGAACTGTCTTGTAATACTACATCAGATGGACTGATTGATACAGATGTGTCCTTTGGGGGATCTGAAAGAGAGGAGAGCTGCATCAATGATTTACTGCTGATGATAAATCGGAATCCTGTAAAAGTGGAGATTTGTACAGATTAATCATTGGTAATAACTCTTTTATCTGAAAGTAAGAAATATCTTTATAAAGTATGAATCAAATTCTAATATGTGCTTTTAAAATATATTACATAATTATGTTCACCTGCTTATTCATTGTTGATATTTTTATCGAGGACTTATGAAGATCTGTTCTTACCATATTATTAGGTAACAAATACAGAATGGTTTTTCACACCAGAGCTTATCCATGTTACTACGGTACATTTGAAACACACAACTCCCCCCCCCCCCAACCTCGAATGGGACAACAGTTCATCACAAGGGTTGCCCCCATCATGCTGAACCACATTTATACAGCTGGCTGGACAGGAGCAACTGGGGTAAAGCACCTCACTCAAGATACAACAGCAGTGTCTGCAGCAGAGACTTCAACTCACATTCCAACATTTATGAGCCCAGAAACTTATCCACTACACTACTCTGACTCAATATTACAATATTACCATTACTACAGCTACTCCAACATAAAATCACAATGTATAATTTTATGTTCTAGGGCACTTACTCGCTACTTGAATAAACAAGAGTATTTACAATTAATAGCAAGAAACAAATCAGGTTTCTGTGTCTTCACACACCTTCAGAAGCCATGGAGTCAAAGCAATTGTTCACAGAATGGAAATGATTTAAAAAAACAATGTGAATATTCATCTTTGCAAAGAGAATAGACATCCAACCTTATGTAATCCGTGAAACACGTACCTGCATATAACCATAAATCAAATTATTCTGTAAATTGTTATAGTGCTTATAATAAATAATCTTACAAGTTGGGGGGAACTCATTTCATCCACTGTACTGTAAAGAGTATCACACACCTGGCTGACACATGGCAGCCATTTTGTACCATCAGCCCTCTTACAACATACTGTATCCGACAAGATGTGGGAAACAGCTTTGTCAGTAGAATTAAGGAGGAATATCATGGTACCCAATTGGAGTAGAATTTAAACAAGACTCCAGGCATAACACCTCTGCTCTTTTGAAACATAGCAAAGTAGTTAATTCATTTGTTTATAGTCCTATCTGAAGGACAACGCCTTGTACAGTATGGTGACATTGTTTCCAATCACAATACTGGGGCAAGGGGACACCCTTGGTTTTCCTTTGAGAGCACTCATCACAGTACTGACCAGGTCTAGACTTCCTTTGTGATATCAAATGAGATCAGACTACAAGGCAGTAATACTACAGAAAAGCCAAACATCTGTTTTGAAATTCACAGTGTTTCTCTTCATGGATATACTGTACTTAGTAAAAGGAATAAAATAAGATATTATGATTAAAATATAGATTCCCATCGTTCTGAGTACAAAACATACGTACATTCTGCTTGAAGCTGCACCGTTGTCGAATTCCCCTTCCCGTGTTCGTTCTGTGCTTCGCAGTAGTACTGTACACTGTCAGTGTCAGTTATATTGAAAGTGAGAGTCTGTTCAGCCCCTGTTTGGACTGTCTTACTCCCGTTCACTTTGAACCAGGTGTAGTTGGTCACTGGTGGGTTGGCATTGGTGCTGCAGGTCAGAGTCACAGAATTGCCTTGTAATATTGTGCCAGAGGAGCTGACTGAGGCTGAAGTGTTTTTAGGGGAATCTAAAAGTAAAGACATTTTATCAGAATAGTCCAACAGTGATAAACAGATTTTCTAACACAGATTATTGGTTTGTACAGTTCAGTAGTTCCCAAAGTAAAGAAAAAATGTAATGTATCTGCAGAAATGAGATACCATAAAAAATATTTTCATTAGTCTGCCAATACATATTGACAACAGTGGTAAGCTTTTGGCATTGGATTGTTCTGGAGAATCCCCAGGATTTAAAAAAATGATATGCGGTTTCCTTTATATGTTTATGTAGTGTGAATTATGCATTATGAATCTCTTACACCGTACTCTGATAGTCACAGTCCTCTCAGAACTCTTGGTGACATTGCTCTGTTCCAGTGGATAGAGCGCAGTGCAGGTGATGTTCAGCTCATGGTGGAGATGTGAAGCAGTGAAGGTCAGGACAGAAGACACAGATGTGGTTTTGTCCTCATTCTCTACCTCCTGTTGCTCCACAGTCTCATTCAGGCTGGGGGTCCATGTGAGGGCTGGGGGGAGTGTGGGACAGGGGGCAGCAGTAGTGCAGGTTAATGTCACAGGGGTCCCCTCCTGCACTTCTGCTGGTGGTGGTAATTTTGGTTTCCGTGGTCTACCTAGGAGACATGGACACTTTGACAATCACTGACAGAGCACTTGTAAAGGAAAACACTACACTATAATTATTAGTCCTCTACTAAATGAAAAGGTAAGATACACTTTATTAATCCCCAAGGGGAAAATTAAGTTTCCAGCACCGCTTATAGATATACAGTAAAAGATCACAAAATTGCCACACCACTGGTTCCCAATGCAGGTCCTGGTGACCACACACCTGCTGGTTTTCATTTCATACCACCTTAATTAGATAACTGAAGCCTTAATTAATCTAAGAAGTTACCTCAATTGAAGATTTTGATTTTATTTCACTTTCACAGTACAACAGTTAAATCTCCAACATGTTTAAGAGTTGGTAACAAACAGTTCAAATCAATCTTATTATTAAGTCAATGAAGGGTTTGATGGTGAAACTAAGGGCTCAACTAGATCTTGGAGCTGATCAGTTCATGGACTGCCATGTGTAGAAAAAACTGACATTGAAGAAGCTTTTTTATCCAAAATCACTGTGGGGAGAAGATGTTACATACTATATTTGCCACTATAGATGTGGCCTTCTTCCAGATCCACTTTTGTCCTACTGTATTTCCTCCACAGACTCCAGTTGTGTACCAACAATGGTGGCTCCCTCCCCCTTAATCAACCTGTTCACCTGTTCAGTTGGACAGACCTTTTCTTCCGTATGTTACCCCACACTCCCAGAAGGATAACAGACAACACTAGCCACCACACTCAGATAAAACACAGCCAACGTCTTACTACAGACATTAAAAGGTGAAGCTTCCTAAGGAGAAAGGGACTCAGCAGTCTCAATCTCTTCATCAGTAACCTGGATGTTAGACTTCCTTAGGAAAAGAAGCCTTTACTGCCCTTCATACACACAAAATCCATGTTTGTGCCCTAGTCCATGTTTTCATCCAGATCTACACCAAGGAACCTGTGGGACTCCACAGTCTCAATCTCTTCATCAGTACCCTGGATGTTAATGGGAACAGTAGGAGGTCTTTCTCTTTTAATGTGCACTACCAGTTCCTTAGTTTTGCAGATGTTAAGTTGTACTCAGTTGTCCTTACTCCAAGGCAATATTTTTGAATTTGTTTTCTTTATACTCAGTATTTTGTCTTTGGTAATGAGGCCAATTATTGAAGTATCATCAGACAAATTAGAAGAAGACAGGAAGGAATGTAGTGCTTGAAATCATTGGCATATAAGGTGAAGAGGAAAAGAGTAAGGACAGTACCCTGGGGTGCCCCTGTACTACAGTGAAACACATCAGAGACTCACATCATAGTGGTCTTGCCTGTACGTATTCCAATATCAATTTGATGAGAGCAGGGTGGACCTACAGTACACTTCTTTAAGTTTTCTTCCAAACAGGTGGGGCTTAATAATATTGAAGGTGCTTGAGAAGTAAAAAAACTCAAGCTCTCACTTGAACTTCTCTATGTAACATACTCTATGTAACATTCTTAGGGATCAGTACGATACAGACTTCATGGTAAAGAACTCAATACTTCAGTCTCATATTTCATATCAGTCATAACCATATTCCTTAATATATTCCTTAGGAAATCTTGAGTTACAAGTTGAAACAAAAGCACTAATTAAGGTAACATATCTGCATCTGAAAGATATTCCAAAGTATCTGAAAATATAAACTCCAGTTAGTAGTTTAGATATCATTTATAATTTAAGTTATCGCTTTTTAAGTCATTATTATATTCCAGAGTCAGCTCTGGAATATGACTGGAATTGGCAGTTTTGAAAAGAAATAACAAGAAAATTCAGCCAAAAAAGCTGAAAAAAGTATTTTACCTGTAACTGTAAGTTCAGTTCCTTTTCGATAGGTATATTTAATAGGTTCAATTCTGAAGTAAATTGTGGTGTTATCGCTTTTTGTTACGTTTCTCAGAATTGTGGTGCAGTTGTTTTGATTTAACTTGCCAGGAATCTCCCACCGGTTGTCAGGTCCTTTTGTGTCTGAGTTAAACACTCTAGATCCACTGATTCCACCCTTTATCCAAACTCCAGTAAGGGGAAACTGCAGATGCCCCTTGAATGCTTCTTCAATTTGGTAACTACAGGGAATCAGCACACAGGAACCAGTCAAGGCTGGTATCTTATCAGGCATTGTAATCTCAAAACCAAAAAGTTCTTCACAAAAGACAGCTAGAAAACAAAATTTAGATGACAATGAATGTGTGTTTTGTAAATAATACACAACATTTCCATAACACAGCTAGTTTGTTACAATGATCTTATAGGAAAGTTGAACTGAATAAAACAATAAACAATAAAAGTGTGTATGTTAATGGGTCCTAAAAAATGAAATAATCTTGTTACAAATCTGACCAGAGTAAGAGAAAGGTATGTCTTGAATAACATTTTTATATCAGCAAAGAGTGTGTGAAAATGTACTCATCACAGGTGACTATCACTCTGTCAAACATCGAGAAATACATCATTACTGTATTTCTTCCTGCCCATTACTTTATCTTTATCTTTGAAGGAATAATATGCTTGCGACCTGCAGTCTCCGACAGGTGTTGTCTCTAACACAGAGCCCAAATGCAGTTTAAGTGTGAAATGTTCACTCACTTTTAAGCAGACAGAAAAGAATGAAGCTCTTAGTCCCAGACATGTTCCTGAGTCAGAGGTATTGAGAACAGTTGCCCTGCAGAAACACACAACAGTTAAGACACTCTGGAACGGGCAGACAAAATTAAAAGCATTTTGACACTGAGACCTTGTATAATTCAGAATTATGTGTTCTACAGAAAGCGTGAAAATATATTAATTTTAAACCAATGTGAAAACAATGAATTAACACAATTTTAATGATATCTGGATAATGAATAATGGGATAACTTGCCATTCACAAACCTCTTGAATCGTCAATGTTTCTGACTCCTCAGTGCTGAACGAGTTTCTCTCTCAACCTCACAAAGAGATTTTGCAGTGCTTCTGCCTTCTCCCTAAACTCCTTCATCCACTGCGAGTACAAGAGCACGGTGTGTAAGTCGTCCCAGTAGCAGGTCCGAGACGAGGACAGAGGTACTGGGTCTGGGACACTGCTTCAGTGCAGAGGTGAGTGAGAGTGTGATTCACTTTTTAATGGCCTTAAGGATCAAGAACATGAAGTCTATTATTTGAATGTGTATGGAGGTGATTTCCATTCAAAAACAACTATTAGTGAAATATGTAAATATCATCAGTATTCATATCTTGTTCTTATCTCATCCTGCTTTAAAATGCAATATATTCAATAACAAAATATTGAGAATTCACATCCATTTTCTAATGGTTTTCATTAATATTTTCAAAACATTTAATATTTTATTCAAAGTTATCACTTTATTAAATGTAATTAGAAGAGGTATGAAAAGAATAGAGGCATAAAATCAAGATCTATTCATTTTCAAATAAACTTGCTCTCACCGTTTAATCTGCATTTTGCCTTGTGTTTCTCTTCCTTCTTCGCCTCATGTCAGTCCTTTCTCACAGTCCCTGTACTGGCTCACTTTTGCGTCATGTTCAAAGCCCTAATTCTTGTCTGCTGCTGTTTCAGCTATTCTGCCTATATCTGTCTTCAGTTTCTTATTTTTCCCTACACTCAGAAAGACCATAATGTGCTAATAATTAATCTAAGACATTAACACAATTTAAATGTCAACACATTTACCAGAAAAATGTGTGGTTTTCCAAAAAAAGGTATGAAATACAATGACTAAATTCCAAGCTTTCACTGAAGAAAGAAAAAAATATTTTCTTTTCGAACTTTTAAAAAGAAAGAAATTGAAATAAACAGAATGGAATACTTGCCTTGGAGCACTTAGATGTCAACTCTGCTGCAGCACAGTGCTGCTGTGATCTCTATCTCAGAAAGGGGAACCAACAACAACATTTCCGTCTTCATCTCAGCCCTTCTGCAGTGTAGGTCTGCTAACTGCAGACACACTCAACTCTACAGCATTAGGACTGAGAGCCACCCAGAGACACTTCAGCACTGCTGTGCCTCACTGACACCTCAGAAGGAGAGCTGTCTCTCTGAACAGTCATGCAGAGTAAAAGAGTCTACAGTATGTGCAGCACTGTCTAAGGGGCAGAAAATGAAGGAAACATATTGATTATGTAAAGGCTTAAATAAATTGTTTGATGGGCATAAAGCAAGGAAAATAGAAAAGTCAATGATTTTCTCAAAAAGAGAAAGTGCTTTTTAAGGACTGCTTTATTTTACTATTAGGCTCTTATTGTCATCTTTTGATGAATTTCTCTCTTGTTTAAAAAAGGAAAACCAAATGTAGCTTTTTGAATTTTTATTCTTTCTAAAAATATGTTATAATAATTCAGAAACTTCTTAATGAACCATCTCCAGATCCTTGTGGTTCAATGATGTAATTACAGTACTACTGTAAGCTTGTGCAGTGTGCTCAGAGAAAGTCCAGTACAGGTTGTGTGCATTGTCACGCTGATTCACTGCAGTTTGAGACGCTAGGGGGAGTAGGAGAGCTCAGTCTTTTGTCCCCTTCCTTCATTTCCACTTTTTGTGAAGGTTGAATTGTATAACTAGCTGAGATACACTAACTGGGATAGTTTAGAGCTGCAAAATCACACAGACATAATGGTGAAAAACTGACCAGGACTTTTACATGAGACAAACACCAATATCATATAAGAAAGAATCCTTTTCAAACATTTTAATAGGAAAATATCATTTGTCTTCGGATATTCCCTGCACTTCTGTACGAACTTCCCTACTTCATTGTGAGCACCAATAAACCCTGTGTGTCTCCCCTGAACCCTGTCTATGGTCCTTTTTCTGGATTTGCCACCTCGCATAGTGTCTAAACACCATCCTCTGGGGGAGACCAACCCAGCTTCTGTGACACCGGTCCTGTAGCGTCTCCCCTTTGTCGCCTGCTTTGAGTTTCATAACTCCTTTCCACTTCCTGCCATACTCCAGTTAATGTACAACTCCCCTATATCTCTGGCGAGCTCCGGAGCGTGCAGGAGTTAATTTCTAAATAAAGATTTGAAACAGAATTAAAAGTTTTCACTGGAGAAAGAAAAGGTTTTTGCTTAAATCTACTTTAGAAGAGAAAGAAATTAAAATGAAATAACAGAAGTACAGTTCTTGCCATTCTTAGGGAACTTAAGTCTCAACTCTGCATCCAGCGCACTGCTGCTGGGTGATTAAATTTTCTGCCTCAGAAGGGGGAACCTAAAACAACATTTCTTTCTTCACACCAAAACCCCTCAGCCAATGCAATGAGCTACTGACATTCTCAATTCCACAGAAGCTGGATTGAGAGTCAGTGTTGTACCACAGTGTTGAGACACCGCTGAAAGAGAGCTGGTGCTCTGAACAGTCACCCTGTGTGAATGGATGTCTGTGGTTCATGTTTTAAGGGTCTGAAATATACTTTATGATCATAAATGCAATTGTCTGGAGAGACCAATCTTGACAATGAATCAAATTCAACACAAAAGTGAAGGCTAAAGGAATTTTTTGTACTTCATAGATTCTTGCTTTCTTGTGTGTACTGTGTATGTGTGTGCTTTTCTCATCTTTCTCTGTTTTGATTTATATGAAAGGAAAACCAAATTTAGCATTTTTAAATAATCCATTTTAATTGTGTCTTATCATGACAAAGAAATGTATAAGGCTTTAAAAACTGGGAGGGTATAATTTGGTTAATACACAACATCATTAAAACAGTAATAACAAATCCCTTGGGTTTTCTATTGGGGTCACAGTATATTGTGCTGTGCCCTCAAAACAAGTCTGAGGGTGTTATAGGTGTGAGGTTTGTTGTACATTAGCCTGGAGCTCTGCGAGCTGGAATTGGCGACAGTCTCTAGGCTACTTAATGTCTTCACCTTTCCTCCTGCAAATATTAATGTGGCTCAGTTGTGGTTTGTGATAATTATGTTCATCACAACATATACAGTATAATGGTATAATAGGAAAGGTATGATTTCTACATGTGCATAATTCTGTTGTATACACCAACATTTTTCAGCATTAAATAGTGTGCATTAAAATGTTTTTTCAACAGAGAACAAAAGGAGAACACATTATTTTTCAATCTGACAGAATATTTTAATGCAGTATAGTCACAAGGTAACATTATTATGTTAAACTGCACAAATGACTTTGTCAGAATGGAAGTACAAGTTTTAAAGTATTTTATCTAATATATACAAGTAAACACTTTCAGATGTTAAGTATTACAAGAGTAAGCTGAGAGCATATTGCATGTTGGGCAAGAATGGCTGGTTATTTTGATTCAAGTCAAATGCTTCCACCAACTGTCTGTTATGAGGAACTACAATTTATGAGAAAAGGCTGACTGATAACTCAAGTAATCATGTTCATTTGATAGCTGCATAATATAATTGTCCATTATATTGTAATAAGGGTAATCAATGGAAACAGATCGTTATATAAATCCCAGTAGAATATGGAGCTTGCCTTTCACAGAGCATAAAGGTCCTGACTGCTGTTGCCAGTACAATACAAATTTATCAGTAGACAAAAAAAAGCACAAAAAAAAATAAAGATGTTCATAAAAAAAGAAAAAAAAGGTACAAATAGCTGTATTTTAGAAAATGCTGAAGAGAACAGATGAGTTCTAAGCCTTGATTTAAAAACACAGATGGACTCTGCAGTTTTGATAAATAGAGATATAAGTCTCAGTCCCAGATTTGGGGAATGCAATTCAGTCCCGAGACTGCTTTTTATTCATATTAAGCAGGTGTGTAGGCAACAAGCAGACCTGCCAGGTACAGTGGGATTCTCCTATTCAAAGACCTAATTTGAGATGGTGAATCTACAATTACAGAATTGTAAATCAATATTTTAAATGGGATAACACTGTAAGAAGTTCTGGCAATTTTTTTGTCAGTATACTGTACAAGGAGCTGTACAAGAAGCTGTAAATATGATAGAGAGTAAAGTACAACTTTATCCTTTTAAGTTGTTTTTGTTCTAATTAATCAGTGTTACTGGCACCGTCACAGCACTCCCATTACCAAATATATATCTATCAAAAGGCTACAGCATTGGACATGTTTTTCTTTTATTGCTATATGAGTGTTGTTGAATTATTTGAATGCACTGACCATTGCTTCCTGTAAAGCTAATTTATTCTGAGCCATTTCACTAACTGGTAGATAATGCTGGTGCTTCTTAGCTTCTCATTGTGTGTCACTCCACCTGTAATTAAACCTTCTATTTAAGCCTGAATTTTATTGGCATGTTTCATTATTTAGTTCTGCATGACTTGGCACAGAGAAGAGACAATAAAGGATGTGACCAACAGCTCTTAAGCTTCAGTGCTGGGATTTATTGTTCATTCTGCAGTACAGATTTTTTGGGCAGACCTATTTTAACATATTTTGTGATAAGACAGAACCATGAGTAAGAATATCAACATTGCTGCTCGCTGTCAGGGTTTCACGTAAGATAGAAGATTTTTATCCAAAAGGCAAAGACGAAATAGGATTACTATCTGATCTGTAAGCCAACTTTGCTGGAATGCATCTGATGAAGAGATGTATTAGCCTTGTGGAATATATTTACATGGATTAGACTTAATCAGGTCGCTAGTAAAACAAGGAGCTTCTACTGGATGGAAAAGAAAAGTTTAAAAGTGAATCTGAAAATACTTTGTCACCGGGATGTTATGAGCTGCACAAGTCTGAATACCTGTGGTATGAATCTTCTAGGTCATGTAAGAGAATGAGGTGAAGAAGCTACTTTGGAAGGAATCTGCATATTCAGAAGAGAGTCTGAAATTTACTTCAAGATCTCTACAGCACATGTATGGACTGTTTTACAGAATAATATGGGATTTTCTTGAAAAAACAGTTCTCTTCAACAGAAAAACATTTTCTTCAGATTGACAGCACCATATACTGCATGTGTATTTGAGAGGGAAAAAAAAGACAAATTGGCACATCTAGAAAGTAAAGTTGAATTACCCTTTTCAGCCAATGATTAACAGATGCAGAAACATTCTTACAACTCTGACGCGAATCTTTTAACTGTTTTCCATCTCTTTGAGCAACAAAGTCTCTACACAAACCTGTACCTAAGAAGGAAACAAGCCAAAAGGTTCTGAAGACACTTTAAACCAAATGGAATATTGCAACATGATATATTTATGAAGTCCTTATTCAATTTTCACAGTTACTAAGAATGCCTGCATACAGAACCCCAACAAATATGTTTTGTTTTGTGATGTTCTAATATGGCTCCAGGTCAACTTGAACATAAAGATTATCTCTTTCTTACTGTCTACTCTCTCACACTACTGCTGGGCCTGCCTTCCAATATCCTAGTGCTAGCTGCCTTTGTCAACAAAGCAAGGACCGAAGGCACCACTCCCAATGTCGTTTATGTCATAAATCTTTGCTTGGCTAACTTAGTCTTTGTATTATGGCTGCCCATTAAAATAGTGGAGACGTTAAAGAGTTGGACCCTTCCTGCTCTTTTGTGTCCAATTTATAACTTCTTCCACTTCAGCACAATCTATGCCAGCACACTCTTCCTGACATCGATAAGTGTGGGCCGCTATCTCAGCATCGCCTTCCCCATCAGTTACAAGCTATATAAGAAAGCCAAGAATTCCTGTTTCGTGTGTGTGTTTTTCTGGGCAATAGTCATCACCCATGTGGCTTTGGTATTAACCGTACAGGAAAATGATGAAGACCTTTTTATCTCTTCCTCCGCGGACAATACCTCGACTTGCTACAACAACTTCACGAAAGAGCAGCTGGATTTCCTGGCTCCGCTGCGTCTGGAGATGGCTGTGGTCCTGTTCTTCATTCCCCTGTTAGTGACGTCCTTCTGCTACTTCAGGTGCATCGCGCTGGTAGTGAGGTCCTGCCTGCACACCAGGAGGAAGCGCAGGGTGATAAGAGTGGCTGTGTCCACACTGATCGTTTTCGTGGTTTGTTTCGCGCCGTACAACTTCTCCCATGTGGTGGGGTTCATCCGGCATGAGAACGTCGAGTGGAGGGGAGAGGCGCTTCTCACCAGCACTTGCAATGTCTTCCTGGAGCCCATCATCATGTTCTTCCTGTCCTCCTCTACCGAGCACCGCTTAAACCACTGCTGTCAGCTCCCGAGGGAGACGTTCTCGGAGACCAATTGCAAAGCTCCCCCATCACACAACAAGAGGCAAGAATGATTCAACTGCCATGACTGCTGCTCGGAAAGTAAACGCTTGATTTGATAAAAATGTATATTTTAAATGAAAAATGTAAGCAGCAGGAAATATGTGCAACTAAATTAAAATTGGTCTGTTGAGACCTCTTCACCTCAATGTAATTGTTTAAGTATAAAGCAATGAGCAAGATAATATAAGATTTCCAGGTTTCTTTAATAGCTAGTATTCGGAAGGTAAAATGCCAGTTCCCAGTCCTAGTGGGTTATCATCTGACTACAGTGCTTAATTACTTTATTTATTCACTTTGTTGTTTTTTCAGTACCTTTATGACCAGATTGTGTTTGAATGCTGGTTCTGAAGAAGTCCATTAGGTTGAATTTGTCCATATTTCTGCTGATTCAAGTGCTCCATGGTCTTTACTATTCAAAATCAAAAGATCCATTAACTTAGCTTGTCAGTGAACTGGACATACAGTACCTTTGAATGTGGGAATGTAGGCTCTTCTATAATGGTTGCTCTTCTCTGGACTGATTCCAGAAAAGAACTGCCTTTTACCAAAACTGTAAAGGAACTAACATGATGAAAATAATGTACTAAACTGAAAAATTAATTAAGTAACAGAGAGTTCAGATGGAACCAAAAACCAAAAGTCATGGGATGCACACACCTAATGTGAGAGTTCAAGTGACGTTTGAATTTTTAACATCCATTGAAGATTCATTGATTGTTCTTAGTTTCCACCTCCTTATCTGCTACTTTGGAGACAGGCAACTAGACATTTGTTTCTTGATCTGGGGATCTTTATGGGGATCTTATTGGTCTTCATGAATCGTGTCACATTCATACAATGCATAAAATCTAGTGCAATGTCTAATTTTAAAATGCCATGAAATGAATGTTGCCTTAACTGAAAAAGATCAAAATAGTATGTTTTGTTCCAGATGCCTCATTTTAAGAGGAAAGGTATGTTATTGACTCAATCATTTTCTCACTGCTTTGCATGTTAATTAATTAATAGGTAACACAACAATCACCTATGGCTATTATTGTACTTAAAAAAATACAAAAATCTAAACTTCTGAGTTTTGCATTGAATGTTTTCAAAATAAAAACATTCAAATATTGTATCTCAGGTTGCAAGGAACCCATTCTTAAACAGATTATACAGTATTTTTGTGTTTGTATTTAATTTCTAATGGTGCTTCCCTAAGATGTATTTTGTATTGATTACATATCTATTAATTAAGTGTCTGTGTTTTTGTTTACTCTGGCTACAAAATAATGTAAAAATAACATTCTTTAAAACATTATTAAGGGATATTATGACTGCGTAAAGAATGTTAAATACTACTGAAGAATGTTCTTTAACTAATATTAAGTGTATTTAAAGGCTGTGAGCAGAGCTTAATTTTCATGTCTTGCACAACGTGGTTTAAATAGTTTTCATGATGCAGATCATCAAAAGCAAATTACCTTGATTTACTCTGCAGATCTGACTGTAAATCTTGCTGACAAAGTAATGGGCAGTGTAGATTATGAACTGATTACAGATATGAATTCAGGAGAGGCATCTCACCAAAACTATAATGAAATCCACTGCTGACTTTTTCAATGTGCTTTAAGTGATTGTAACTGGCATGTGCAAAAAAATCTCATGACGTGAAATACACTACACTATACAAAATCATTGTATTGCAAAGTGACAAATACAGTACTAGTGCATTGCTTCCTAAAATAATAAATATTATCCTTTAGGACATCAGGGAAATTATACTTTACTGCGTGCTGTTTCATAATGGGCATATCAGCCTTCTTTTTAAACATAGAATTATTAACTCATAGAATAATTACCTATCTATGTAATTATGTGCAGAGCCTGATATTCTGGCATGCTGACATAGAATCACTTAACATTTACTCATATAGTGATCTTAGATAGGCCAAATGGTTTCGTTGATGATTACATTTACTTATCTGTTTTTTTCCTAACATGAAAATAAAACCAATACGACACCACTTAATTACTCAGACTGTTCGTTTTTTGATAGTGTCTTCCTCGGTACTGACCTTTATAATGATGGTAGACCCGTACATAAGTGCCTGTATTGGACACAGCTCTTATTGAAAATAGAATGTTTAAACGAGCAGACAGCTTAATGAGCTGCCTCCTGTGTGTCATTGCCGGTGGTAGCGTATATGTTAGTGAACACCGAAAATGCAGGTGTGGGAACAGGAAGGGTTTCTCTGCAAAGCTGTTGGGAGATTATTGGAAGACTCCTCTCATTCATTAAATGTTTTCTAGTGATTTCTCAGGTCTCCATACAAGACTCTTAATGTTGTTCTAAAAGGACTTTCATGATTTTTATTCAATCATGTTTGCTTGGCCTTTGCCACACGTTTATTGTTACAGGAATAAGATTGCTAACACCTAAAGAAAGCTCCCTAGGCAAACCACTGTTTCATCTTTCTGCTTTTCAATGTGGAATTAACTTTCTCTTGCTCCTTTGCTAGAAGTTGTCAATCAGTTGAGAAATTCGCTGACCAAGTGAATATACTGTACAGCATATCGTTTTACGAGACACTGTCTTTACAGTAGGTTTTGCCCACATTTTACAGACCTTTTGTGCCCTTGACCTGTATTTCTGGCATACATTAAAAGCAACATACAGGAATAACAGACATATTTCTTTTCAACCTAACTTTGGAGGACTTCTTTTTTTCCCCTTTTTTTTTAGATAATAACACAAAAAATCTTACATTCACAAAGAAATATTCAAAAACTTGCTACTAATACTCTTAACATCCAGTGCCATTCAAGTATGTCTCTAATGAGCCCCAAACATTCCTATACTCATTAAGTTTCCCCTGTAAATTATATGAAATCTTTTCAAATTTAACTTGTGATACACCCAATTTAATCCATTCTTTGTATAACGGTCCTGTACTGTCCACCCATTTTCACAATATTATTTTTTTAGCAATAATACAGAGAGTCAAAAAAGTTTTTTTATATTGAATTGCTACTTTACCCTTTGATAAATTACCAAGGATACATAATGGGAGTACAGTAAGTGGAACTGAGATATTTAGGTACTGCACCTGAGGTACCAGAATGACTGTATGTGCTGACAATATCATAATAAGCGCAATAGTGATCCTTTATGTGTGTTACATTTTGAACAAATTCCTGTATTTTGCCACTTCATCTTTTTCAATTTTTCTGTGGCACTGTCTTCTGGGGTGTTTTCTGGCATTTGTTTTACGGGATCATTTTGAAATGATCACATCTCAGATGATTGGTATTTGTTTTCTTATAAAACAGAGTTTTGTTACTTAAAGATGTATATGTTCTCAGATATTCTTTTCAATGTGATTTGAAATGCGAACCATAAAGTAAACCATTTGAGCAAGCTTTTTTATTTTTGTTTGCAAAAAATCCGAATGAAATAACTAGAGAAAATCATTGCTGAACATTCAAAACAATACATCTTCTGCTTTATGCACACTCGAACTTTAGCCCTTCATTTACGAGGCCCTGTAGGTAACAGATGGGTCCCATCATTTCCTCCCTAATTGCTATCTCTCCTTTGTTTACTGGTGCCTTGTTACCAAGTTTCCAGACAGCAGAGAGTTTCCATGTTTTTCACAAACTGGCAAGATGGTGCATGATTCATAGGTGAATCAACCTGGATCTTGGTGTGAAACCAAAAAGACATTAACCAAGCCAAACTAATTAGTTTGTACTGAGCATACAGTACATTGTTCACAACTGTCTGCTTTCTACGAGATTAAAATATAAGAGAGGTACAGTAACAATGAAAGGTGACCATTTGTTTTATCTTTCTCATTTGTTTTCTAGCAGTGAGGATCTCGCCCAGCCATTTCTTTGACAGAAACTAATAAATCAAAATGGATGAGTAGTTTTTCCTTTACACTGTGATATGTGCGCTTCTCCATAGCTTCCACTTGTGTCTTCTAGTTTGTTTTTCACTGTGGATTCTGAAGAAGTCTACACTCTTTGCCTCCGACGTATTTGTGTATCAAAAATAACATTTGCAGCTGTTTTCAGACTGCTATCACACATGGTATGGTAAGAAAGAAAAGATCAGAATGAGCTTTTTTATCTGACTGAAGCAAATAAATTCTGCAGTAATGCTCCAAAAATGTCCAAGAGGTTTTGGGGGTATTAATTATTATTAGACTTCCATTCTCACTACAGTCTGTAGTGAGAGTGGAAGTCTAGAACTCAACCTCCTCCTGAACTGTTAAATAACACTGTTCAGCTCTTTATGAAGCTAACAGTCTCCCCTGAGGCAAGCATTCCATGCCTTAGCTGAGGTCTTGCACCCCTATCTTCCCTTTGTCTTCTTTCTTTCCCTTAGGCATAGATGAGTTTATGAACTCCCAAGTGATCTAATTCATATTCACCAATGCGAATCCATCATGATACAGTGTATTAGGCATACCGTGTGTTGTTTTTATCCCAGGTGACATACACACAGTGGTTGCTGTCCACTCAAAGCAAAAGGCGTTGAACAGGTAAGAGACAAAGTCATCGAACAATTGAGAATAGTCGAAACCTAGGAAACATGACTAAATGCGTGCTTAAAAAGAAACTGTTTAATATGAAATGTATATTGTATAAAGGCAAAATGCAAGGATTCTCAGAGGAAACACAATAATGGCAAAAAGAATACAGGCAGTACACTGAATATGACATGATAAAGAAGTACACTGAACATAACATGATAAAGGAAAGTAACATGGTTATAGATCATATCAAACAATTCCTTTGACATTTTTTTTAATACAGTATTTGAATCAGATCACCTAAGAAGGAATGTTGGACTACCGGAGCCATTTACTGACTAAAATGTGAGGCTTATGTATAATTAGTTACTGTCTTACAAGTTTATTATGAAATAATTATTTGCATAATACAAACATAAAAACAGCCTTGTAAGAGAATTGTTTTGTGAGATTCTTAAAAAAGGCTTTGGGTTTGTACTTGGTAGCTTGAA